ACTGCGGACTCTATTGGCAGAGTCAGTATTGTTTGTCTGCAGATGAACAAGAAAAAAAAGAAAGTAACAGGTACAGAGTTAAATAATGGATTATTCATTCAGAAATTAGGATGTAGATAATAGTATAGAAAGAGGAGAGCTCTTCAAAATTGTCCTAATGCTAATCTTCAAGAAATACCAGGAACATGTACAAAACAGCACAGAAACATAACGAACATCTCCCAGAGAGTTTAGTTAATGCTCTTCACCCCTCAGACGCTCCATCTCAAAACAACTGAATCTTTGCAGGAGACAACCGGAAAATTTTTTTAAAATCCCTGTGATCTGTCTGAGGAAGTGACTAAGAAAGCGTTACTCCAGGGCTAAAGAAAAACCCCTCCAACTCCCATACCCAAAGCCTTACTTACTAAATACCTTTGGTTCCTAGGCACCAGAGAACATAAAACCCCTGAGGTACCAGAGATTTTACACAAATAAGCAGCATTTTACTGAGCACACAGAACCAGCTCTAGGATTTACATCACCTTTCACTAGAAAGGAACCCACGAGCAGCACTGAATGCAGTACGTAATGCAGTCTGGTGGGAGCCATTGTTTAGTATTTACTCGAGACCTTTTAATTTTTATATCTGCATCCAAAAGTTCACCACATATAAAGGCTTGTGAAATTCCTGTGGTAGGAGAGAAGCCACACACGAGCATCAAAGTTAGAGAAAGAGGTAAACAATGTATCACAGCGTTCTTAGGGCAAGATTTAAAAAAAATAAAATAAAATAGGTGGGGGGTGGGGAAAGAGTTATGAGGAGCTGGCGCCTAAAGCCAGCTCAGGAGGGTCCCGAGGTGAGGGGACACCAGCATCTGCCACCAGATACAGCCCGGGGCCGAGGGAAAGAGCCTGCAAGGACAGAGCGAAGCCCGGGGAGGGAGGGGGTAAAAAAAAAAAAAAAAAAAAATAAAAATCCAGCCCCGTCGCAGAGCAGGGCGGCAAAACCAGCCGCCCCGGGCCACCAGCCTGCCTAAACCGCGAAACGTGCCTTCAATTAAAGTCGCGTTCAAAGCCCGTCTAGCCCGAGGGGGTTTACGCCCTCCTCCGCCCCAGGAGCGCCCGGCGGGCTCGGCAGCCCCTTCCCCGCGGGGAACAAAGAGGCGGCGGCACCGGCGGGAGGCAGAGCCGGGTCGGCGGGAGCTGCCGCCGCCGGAGAGGAGCCGGGGGGCCGCACTTACTTCCTCTGGGCCTTGTCCTTCTTGGCTTTGGTCCGCTTCTTTCGGGCCTGCAGCGCCAGCACTGAGGGAGAGAAGGGGAAAGAGGCGTGAAGGGCGGCGGACCCGGGGAGGGGGGGCACGGCCCGAGGCGGGGGGGGGGGGGGGGGGGCGGCGGCGCTCACCTTTCCGCTCCATGGCCGCCGGAGCCGGTAGCGCCGGGTCCCCCCCGCGCCTGCGCGCTGCGCCCGCCCTTCGCCAGGCGCCGCGCATGCGCGGCTCGGACGCCTCGGCGCGCCACCCGGCGGCCTCGCGCTCGTCCTCGCTGGGGGTGCCGCTGGAGCTCGAGCGGGGGAGGGAAGCTCCGCCCCCCCGCTCCCGGACACGCCCCCTCCCGGCTGGCTGCATGGCGGGCGGGCGGGGCGGGCGCGTGTGACGTCAGCACGGCGCGTGTGACGGAAGGCCCCCCCGCTCCGCGGCTGTGTGACGTCAGCGCCGCGCGTGTGACGCCCGCTCGGGAACGCGCCGCACGGCGATCCCTCAGCCCTGCCAGGGAGGAGAAGAGCGGTGAGATGACGGCGCAGTGACATCAGGGCAGGTGCACCCGGGGGGGGGGGGAAGGGGGAGGGTGTTTCACGTCACGGGTGACAGCCTGGAAAGCGGCGGCCGGTCGCGCGCCTCAGACCACACCTCACCACGTCACGCTTCGCCCTGACAAGATTTGTAAATCCCGTGCCTTGAGCGGCGTGAAGCGCCCCTCAGAGATTCTTGATATTAAATATTTAATAACTACCGGGAACAAAAATTAAACTTTTCAGCTATTGGGCCATTTGGGCATTTCACTGTGAGCACTGATCAAACACCCATGTTTTAAGGTGGCTGTATATTCCCCTTGGAACTTTTGCCAGTTCTATCTACAGCTTTGCTTAATGCAATTTTATTCCTAAAAACCTCTCTGAGCTCTGTTCCAAGCACATTACATCTCCCGTCAGGTTTCTGTGGGGGATTGTCACCCCCCCATCCCTGCCCCCAAAAGGAGTCACGGCCATCAGCCACAACCCGAGCACCAGCCGCGTCTGCTCGGCTTCTGATTTCTAGGACATGGCCTGTGAAAGCGTGCCCGAGCGCAGTGTCCTTTGGCAGCGGATTATAAATATTTTCATGGAAAGGCAGGTATGCATGCGTGCAATTTTGGAAGACGGAAAACCCCTTTTTGTAATTTGTAGTTGTTGCTCTATTACTCACTACAAGCACAAGATGTTTAGTACGTCTGTCTGTCCTCCTGCAAAGAGTTCTGAGAAACCAGCACAAGGTTTTGCGACGATAATGCAATGGAGAGGGGCAAATTTCAGCCTTTGCACAACTGCTGCGTTCAAGGTAAGCTGAAAGACCTCAAGTGCGATGGAGTCCCCCCTGCCAGCACTGCACAGCAACCTCCTACCTCACAGAAGTCACAATTACAAACAAACTGCAGAAGCAACTATAATCTCAATTTGCAGGTGGCCTGTTCCTTCAGCAGGATCTGTTGCCCCGTATTTGCCATAAATGACGCATGCCATTGGCTCTCGCAAGGTGTGTGCTCATACCTGCTGTGACTACCACTCTGTTTTACACTTCCACTGGACTAGGCTGGGTTTCTTCACGTGAGGACATCAAAACCAGCACGTGGCCGGATTTGGAAAGCCACGCAGCAAAGCAAGCGTGTGGGCAGGTGTCATATTTTTTCGAACAGTAGCTGCCACCACAGTCTGAATGCGGAGCCCCAATGGAGAGGTCTCCTACAGAAGCAAGATGCTACTGAGCGGCTTCACTCTTGCCAAGTTGCTTTCATAACTCTTCTAATTTGGGATAGAAAAACGCAGTCTCGGGGTAGCACCCTCAAAGGGTTGCTGAGCCAGGCCTAAGCCAAGATACACTCCTTTTTCCACAACCAGCCTGGCACTAATTTTTAAAGCAGAATAAATGCCCCCGAACTATGCCCGTAGCTAACTGGTTTATCTGGTCCTTCCTCATAGCTTCCTGCCCAGTGTGACACACCGCCGCGCATCACCCCAAGAACTGCTTCTGCCACACTCTGCACGACTCCCCAGGTTCCTCAGCTGCTTTATGTCTTTTGCAGCCATTTATGCACCAGAGTAATATGTGAATAAAACAGCAAGAGGGTTGCGGGTGGTTATACACACTTTGCACCGTCTGCAATGATAATGTGCATGTTTGGGGATCTGTATCCTCTAATTCAATGCAGAGGGAGAGCCAGCTGGGTTTTTGCAGTGTGCCCTGCTAGGAAAACATTGTGGCATCACGCTGGCTGGGAAGGACATGAAAAAGTTGCTGTGTGCACAAAACAAATGTAGTTGTTACAACTAGGTCAGGTGAGAAAGTCAAGCTGCCTACCAAACACATGATTACAGACAGGCCTTTGAACTCTGACTTCTGTGGCTTTTTTAGAGGTATAGGTGGAGTCCTTGGCCATAAAGTACGTGCTTTGTCACTTCACAGCCCGTGCCCAGGGATCTGTGCTTGGCTGCACACACAAGCCTCGTGTGTGTACGCGGGAGCAGAGTTATAGCACTGCACAGCTATAAGGGAAAAAGATCAGGATTGTCTGGACTTCCTCTCAGCAAGATATTTGTTTTGCAACATGAATACCCATAATTTGAACGCTAACATACTGACGTCTGAGTTGTTCCCTGGTGCTCAACTTTGCAAGTCATGGGGGTAGGAAGGAAAGATTCGGAACTTTGCAGAACAAGCCAAAAAAAAAAAAAAATCTAAGTTTGCAATGGAGACTAGTGATGGTGCCAACAGCTAGGAATGCCATTTCATCTTAAACCAAGGGTGCCATAGGAGAGCCAACAGAATCTGGAAATTAGGGCTATGCTTTTCATGGGGTTTGTATTACTCTGCTTTGAACAGAGCTGAGAGGATCTTGGCGTGAAGCCACTGTCCAAAACAATGCAAGGAAGCATATGTGGTTTGAGAATTACTCAATACCATTTGAGCTTTCAGTTTTTCCTGTCTTTCGATCCAAAAGGTATAAGGGTTCCAGTTTCCTCTACAGTAAGCAACTCTGTGCAGTAATGTTCACTAAAATTCTTTACCATTGCAATTTACACATGCAGTACTCTGGTTTCCTTCTAGAAACTGCTTGGAATCAGTAAGAATTTAAATGGAAAAAATGAAAAAAAGATTAGAAGACCTCACTAGAATACACTGCAGATAGTTAAATATTAATATTCCTACTAGGCATCATATCATTGCTAAAATTTAGCAGCCAGGAGCAGCAGAATTCAGAGGAACAACCTTGATGTTACTGCACATCCAGAAACCACACCATGCCCAGCAGCAAAAATTAGAGCTGTTCACATGTTAATGAATTTAGCCCGGAGCACAGGATCTGTACACAAAGGATCCGTCCTTTAAATCCAAGCTTGTCCCTAAAATGGGGTCTGAATGGTAAATATACACAGTGCTGGCCACCTATCTAAAATTAATTCACCTGCAGCCTTCTAACTAGGCAATTTGTGCCATGATATAATCCTCCAGAGGAGGGCATGGTGAAGCCTTGGGATGGGTGTTGCCGGTGTAGTTAAATGCTTCTGCTTTCAGTGGACTCAGATCACACCTCTGTTCTGATATTACTGCACCAAGCTACGGCTGATCTACAGAAAATGTAACTAATTTGATTTTTTTCTCAAGTGCTAACTGTATCTAAGTCTACAATTTTCCTGGCTCTTCAGAATTAAGTGAATTCATTCCGCCATTCTTCACTATTTCAGTAAAGGACTACAAAAACGTGAAAACAAGTATTATTCTGTTTACTAGGATTTAGTTCTGGTGGATTAGAAAGGGACTGAGGAAGAAATAATGGACAGACACCATGTTATATTAGTGCAGACAGTATCAACTTCATCAAAGTGTTGAAGAGTAATAATAAAATGTTTTCTTTAAAGCTTCACATCATTCTAAATACATCTGAAAATAATAAAACTGCCAGCATGTAATCTGTTGAAACATGGCAGATTCATTTTACTTGCTAGCAAGCAAAGCAAGCAATTAATATATAAGAAGTGCTAAGTTAGGACATTTAAACATCTACAGAATTTTAGAAAACTAGTGCAAATAATTTGCTAGAATTATCTACAAAACTAGAAATTATCTTATACATTGACATTTCTCTGCTTTCAGTATTGTTGGGTAGCATGCCTGCTTGAAAGCAATAACATAAATGTTGCATTTTGTTTAGAACAACAGAATTACTGGGGGCATTAGGCAGGCTGTCTATTTTAAGAACTCTGGAACAGAAAAAATTAAAATAAATAGGATCAAAGGCTGACAAGAATCGCCACAACTGTTGCTTAACTGTACCTTTCTCTACTGAAATCCCAATTCCCCAACAGTTATAATTCAGGGATTGCTGGTATACTTCCATCTCTTCCCCCAGCCTGGGTCCTGGAAATCCGACCGAAGGGGTGGAGCATCACACTGCTGGAGAGAGCTTGGCTCTGCTTTATTCTGGGCTGAGCGCGAGACATCTGATATTGGCTCTTCATGCAGAAGTTCGTTGTCAGAGTTCTTTACAGAGAAGAAATCTTCATTCTTCTTCAAGTACAGTCTTCTTCCCTGAAACGAACACGAGCGTTACCGTCAGCCCAGGGTGGCCGGTCTGTTGAGCCAGCCAAGCGCAGCTCCGGTGCCCAGGCGAGCTGCTGTGAGCCCACGGGCCGTGCTGGCGTGGGCGCACGGGCCAGTCCCGGTCCCCGGGAGGCGGCGGGACCGCTGGGGCTGCCGGCAGCCTCTGCGCACCCAGCCCTGAGCACCCAGCTCGGCGTGGGCTCCTGGGGAACCACCGTCACCTCCCGCCCGGGAGCTGCTCCCAACTTTCCGCTCCACGTCCATTAAAGGCAGATCTGTGAATATATGCTGCCACCTTCATTCTTTGAAGTTTTTTCTAGTGGGGGGGAGAGAGTCCAGAAGGTCAATATCCTTGCATTAGACTATTCTGCACAATGCCAAGAGAAGAGAGTTAAACAAGTTGTTCTGTGAGCATCAGAACTCAAGAACCCCATTTTCCTGCAGATTTGGATAGGTTTTTGCCTTAATTCTTGCCTCCTTCAGCTATAGGAACCCAGCCTGGCAGTATGCATAGGATGATTAGTCAAGGCTGGGCTTTTTCCCTAGGTGGGGCAATTACTGGAATCTTCTACTCAGAACAAGGGCTTTTCCTGGAACTTGCAACTGTCTGCCCTATCCAAACTTGGCTGAGACAGCCAATGAGCTTAAAAATGATTGCAGAGTACTGACAGAAAGAACATGTGCATAAACTTCAGTTCTTCAGGAAATCAAGCTAGCACTGTCCTTCACTTCCCCCATCAGCCCCAAGGGAGCTGGTGCAGTAACCTCTGGAAATAAAAAACTCTTGCTCTGCCCTGGCAGGGTCCTTGCTCTGTCGGAGAAATTGAAACAATTTAAAATGCAACGAAGTCATTCCCTGCTGCAAATCTCAGCTGGATGCCTTTCCAGCCTGCACACAAAGATGCCTTTCCCCAAACAGCAACACAGGACTCAAAGAAACAAATTGGATTATCCATCCATTGCAAAAAGGCAAGTACCTGTGAAAATCTGCAGGATTCAAAAGAGCATCTGCTCCGCCCTATTTCCTCAGCCACATGACAAGGTTTGAGTTACTGACAGGACAATTTAATAACATGAAGGCTTAAATGTTCTAAAGCTAAATATTCTACCTTCTGCTGTTCAGCTAGTGATTCTTCGGCAAACCCTTGCGCAGTAGGTTCTAGCTCAGCTGGGTTTTGATGGTTGCCCAGAGCAGACAGCACAGCATCATGAAGAGTTAGAAAGAATCGTTCTTTGGTGACACAGCTGTCAAAGAAACCATTCTTCTCAAAGTCTGCTATCACAGAGGCTATAAAAAATGGGGGGAAATAAATAAAGCAGCAGAACCACACCAAGAAGTACAGCTAAAACATTTCACTTAAGTTTGAAACTTATCCTTGGAGATAAGTCAATATTAGTAAACAAATACTATACTCACAGTGACAGCCAGCTATGAGGACTGTAATGCCAGTATTGTGAAACATATGAATGATCTGTGGAAAGAATTAATTCCATACAGGCATCAGATTAATTCTACATTATATGAATGCACTAGAATGTAAAACATAAACAGGGAAACAAAACCTCCTTTGTAGTGTTTTATCTCTGAAGAAAACCCTTATTCCACTATCTCAAATCCTGTTTTTTAGTTCAGCACTGAACAGCCAAGTTGTCCAAGATCTTAATTAATGCTGACTCCAGAACCAGGGCAGGTCACAGCCAGACCCCATGCTGGCCCTCCCACAGCTCACTATGCAGCACACAGTGTTATTTCTTCACTTAAATAAAAAGTTCTCACAGGAACAGACTAACTTGAAACATCTCTCCATACGCAGATGCCATGCCCATGTGTAAACCAGAATAGGAACCCATATTTTCAAGTGTGACCTGTAATTCTGCTTGTATCAATTTTCATGTCCAACATTTAGATATATCAACTTCGTGTTAAAGGAATCAGATTTTAGAGGTGATAGATTCTCACCATTTTCTCAATGCCTAACCCTTTGCAATTAAAAAATCTCAAAGTAGGCTGGGTTTTGGGTTTGTTGTTTTTTTTTTTTTAAAAAAGGCAACATCATTATTTCAAATCGTCACAGAATTTCAGAATACAGGGCTTGAAGGAATGTGGAAAAACTTTGACTTTATCCCCTTTTCCCGATGGGAGGGTCATTCAGTGGGTGGCAAATAAACCTTAAAGGATTTTAGTAACAACAGCTCAGTCTGCAATTATTCCAAATAGGTGTTAGTCTAACCTGTTATTAAACAAGGCTTTTGAAGCTAAGCTATAGAGTTTGAGGGAGCTGACTGAGAATCCATCTGGAACTGTATCTTTCCAAGAAGCACAGCTACATGAAATTTATTTTTTGCTAAATATATATCTCCATTGGCTAGGATCTCCACTTGAAGATTTAAAAGTTCAGGGCATACTTCAAAGAAGAGGCTAATTAGGCAGTCAGTAATAACAACAAAATCACTCTACAAGACAGCTGAGTTTTATATCTGACACTTCTAAAGAAGAGTGTTTTTTTTTAAGTGTCCAGCTAGAAGAAAAAATAAACAGCCAAAATGGAAAAAAACAAATTAGATGTTTTGATAAATGTGTTTTTAGTTTACACGATTCTAGAACTGGTGACAATGGATGACAGATTTTTGCATGTCTTTTGTGTGGATAGTAGGGCTTTTGTTTTTTTAAAAAAGTGCTTGTGTGGGAATTTATTAATTTCTGAAACTCAACAGCTAACTCTCGCATCCTTAAAGGTCAACTGGAAGATGTGCAGATTGTTATGTAGCAGGGCATTTTAGGCTAACGAGAAACATAAGCCATTGGGTAAACTTCAGGTTTCACATTCATGCACAGTTAGGTTACTTACTTGTTGCAGTAACACTGAGCCTAGCAAATCCACAAATTGTACCATGCTGAAGTCTAAAATAATGGTGTGAACTGGACACGGCAAGCGCATCGGCTGTTCCTCCTGATCTAACTGTACCGAGGAATCATCTACTGCAGAGCCCAGTGAAAGGCAAGCTCTTCTCCCCTCATCCTTGTTCTTCTCAGTCGTAAGTCCCTCGTTAGAGCCTGGGGATGCGCACTGGGCGTCTGCTGGTCCCACCCAGAGCATCCTAGAGCTAAGTTTGTCTCCATACTTTGACCAGTGTACCAAATTAACTGATGACGAGGACCTGCTGCCTGTGTGATGTCGCTTCACCAGTTTCTCCGTGTATGGTATCTAAGATGGAAAATGGAGAGTACATCAGTGGTTGGAAGAAGCCCAGGAGGCGGAAAATTTTTTGCTGCAAGTAAGACAGCACTGCAAATCATCTGATATTTCTTCTTGTGTTAAAAAACACATGTGAGATAACACTAAATATAGCACAAAGCCACAAGAGTATGCAAAGCAGCAGGTGATTTAGGCAAGCCTCAGATGTGGTTAGCAGAGAGCCTTAAGCCACCAAATAGGACAGTGGTACCTCATTCTTCCACACCTTGAAATGGCCTGTGATACTGGAATCTGACTTGTTATTTCTACCTTTCAGAAAAGAAAAGAAGAAAAAAAAATATTGCCCATGGCCATTGCCTCTCTGAGCAGCAGTGAGCTGAACCTTATGGGCTGAGTTCTGCAGCCCTTTGATTCATCTACTTTCCTGTATGGCAGCTGGTCACAGAACAGACCGGTTTAATCAATTCTTCTTTCCTAATAGTTCCCAAGGTATTCTTTAATTTTTATAATGCAAGAAAGGAAATGTCACTCTGCATTTTTGTACTTTAGAAGATAACGTTAAATTATCTATCACTTAGCTCCCTAAGCACCTCGGTGCCACATGTGTTTTCCAAACCACTGTCAACCTGTTTCTCATACAAGGGCTTTTACAAAACACATAAAACTGCTTGAAAAATATCTTCTGAAGACAGTTCATTCCCTGAAGTTCCTTTCATATACTGTCTAAGACCATGCAGAAAATTCAGATAAAAAGGAACAACAGTGACTCTAGAAGATGCACAGCAGCCAGTTACAGTAAAGATGAGAAATCCTCTAATCATGATAATTGCATCTGCCTCTAAGGTATTTTGTACTTGCATTTGGCAGTATTGTCAGGAACAAATTCCTCATAAACAAGAGAATTCTCTCACTTCTATGGGGAAAAAGAAGAAAATCCCTACTGAAGCACCTGACAAAATTCATTCAACTGAGGAGAGGATATGTTGAATACTTCAACTGGTAGTTAATTTATGCTTTAATTTAATTTAAGCTCTATCACATAACGTATGTGTAAAGAAATACAGTGGCAATGTTTGCTTATTTTCAAATAGCAAATACATGTATGCTTTATATAAACATTTACAGCCTTTTCAGTTCTGGCAAGTTAAGATCATTGTCCCCAGTAGCATAAAACCAGGCACCTCAAGCAAACAGACTAGATAAATATACTTTCAAAGCTGACCCTAGGTGGTGGTAGAGGTGGATCACAGACACAAGAGCATTTAAGATCTTGTCCAGTGTCAGGCAGACTAAATGAAATTAAAGCTCTCATTTCACTTTCATCTAGAGGCACTGCTTTCATGTCCATCTGAAAAAGAAAGGCAGTTTTATTAGGGTTTTTATTTCCCCAGTGCAGGCTCTTAGAAACTTCAGCTGATTGAAGAAGTGCCATTTACCTTGCATAACAAATAGGTTTTGAAGTGATTCATGTTTGCAAAAGAGATGGAGGAACAGCACTGGAAGATTTTGATACCTTCAATCTCCCTTGCCTGTAAAATGAAAGTTGTATCTGTGAGGGCTGTGACTAGCAGGAGCTATTTTTCCCCTCCTGACTGTCTGTGCTGTAGTCTGCAAGGTCTTACCCTAAGGACAGAGTTTGTCTGGTCACATGGTTGACTATACTGCATACTGGCAGTGGCATTGGTGGCATGGACTTAATTACCATAAACTAATCTGCTTCTCTTGCAATTAAAAGCATACCTCCAGCACATCTATCACAGATGACAGCTGGCTGCTCTAATATAAAAGAAGCAAAATTATTTTAAATGCTCCTTACAGAAAACATACACTATACCTTTGTCTTACTAACCTTTTCTTTATATTATTCAATTTTTTTCAAATCTATTGGGAAGGTACCCATGAGGCAAAGACAAAGCTCTCTACTACTGTATTGCCTAACTCTGTATGGTGCAGGACTTGAAAATAATGTGTTAAAAAGGCCCATGCCCGACCTATTTTCCCCATCACCAGGAGAACCTATGAGTCAGTCTAGCACATGCACAGTTGTTATTGTGAAAACATATGTAGAGTGGACAAAACCAGACTGAGAAAAGCAGGTCAGCAAAAAATGCCAAACAGCTCTGGAAATGACAGCAGTGCAGCTTCTGCCGTGGAGACAGCACAGATGGACACATGGAGCCTCACAGGGCCCAGGCAGGCTGAGCTACGTATCCAAATCACTTCACACCACAGATACTTAAGCATTCTTCAGTTTTCAAAGTTTTGAATCAAATGAACTGAGTCTGAATGGTCACCCCCAGGCATTTAAGGGAAGAAGCTGGATTACAGAGAGAGATGGAACATTTGGTTTTTGTTTCCTCTTACGGCTCTGTAGACGGATAAACTTCTATAAATATTCATGTTTGGAATCTGTCCCAGCACCACCATCTTCATTCTGAAACAAGACATTTATTAGGTTTTCACAGAGAACAAACCATTTGTTCCCAAAAGCTCAATCTCTATTTCTCTCCTCTTCAGTGGATACACCAACTGTAACTTACAGGGTGTGAGCACAAGAAGTTATTCACTCATAATTAGGGTTCTTTGAGTAGGGGAGCGGTACACAAGCACAGCCTTCAGCTACACTGGTGTCCTCAAAAATGTACAGTGTCCCATTTCTAGCTCTGGAACACTTGGATGATTGTTATTATGCTAGAAACCATGTTCCCTCTCCATCTCCCCACAGCCCTCCTCAAAGATGCATCTCCACAGTCAGGTGGAGGCAGCGATCGCTTGTGCATAGAACTGGCTGCACACTGGCGAGGTCTGAGCCACAGCTCCTGGAGCAGCATTAATGCAGGGTTTTGTCTTGAAGGAGAATATCCTGGTTTGGGTACTGTGCCTTGCTAACGGTGGTGCACGGTTTTGGGGCAGGTTCTGGTCTGTTCAGGGCATGGATGGAATAAACATGGGGCTGACTGGCTGGTTGCTGGAGAGCTGGAAGGCAGTGGGCCCTGATGTATGGAAAATTGTTGTCAAGACAGGCTATTCAAAGCAATCTGTTTGCAGATAACTTCCCATACTTTTTTGAGTGCTGTCAGCATAATGCCCTCACTGGTAGGAAACTGATAAGGGGCTATATATCCTGAAGGTAGGATGGAAAATAGTGATACTTAACTGAACAGTGGCTGCAGAAATGCTCTTTCACAACGCTCTTTAAATCCCAAAGCAAACCCAAGAGCATAACTCTGAGCAGAGGCAATACAGTGAATTTTGGACAACAACTGACATTCTTCCTGAAGATATCCTTTCAGAGCCACTCTGGATCAGATCACAAGCAGGTCGATATTTGCAGCGAGTTATTTCCTACCTCTTTCCATGTTACTCTAGACGCTTCAGTTTACTCAGACAAGCACCTCTCTATCGTGGTAAACCTCATGAGGTGTGGCTTGGAGTTACGAATGATCTTCCTGTTTGGATTAGCTGCTAATAAACTGAGTAATGTGTGCCTGACATAACCTCCCTCCCCTATCACAAACTGAGTTTAAGGAGAAGATAAAGCAACTTGGTAAATGTCAGTGAAGACTGAGGAATGTATTTGAAGTAAAGGCACAATATCTCATTTTATCCCTCTAGAAGTGTGTATACACAGGTCACCTCTCCTGGCTGATGCCCACACCACAATAAGCAATCTTCAATAGCATGGTACACTTGCAGAAGGGACCGATCCAGAGCCCATAAACTCAAAGAGATTACTGGTTTGGGATGGCGTTAGAGAGAGTCCAGAAGATCTGACCAAAGTGTTTACAAACATGAAACAGCTATTTCCTTTTCACATGTATAATTATCTCTAAAACATCAGCTCAAAGAAAAACTAGTGTTTTTGTTTTAAAGGTTACAAGTACCTGTGTGACCTAATGGTGATTATGAAGAATGCAGATCCCATGGCGATCACTAAACCGACATCAAGACCAAAACAAAGCACTGCAGCAAAAGTTACAAGCCAAATAACCTTTGAACAAGAGACAGAGAGAATGTGAACAGTAAAAAGATGCAAAATGACCTCGAACTCAGCCCCAGCATTTGCAAACTGCAGACAGTATAAAAGTCTAGAAATGGTAATATGTGAAAAGCTTTGTTGGCACATCTAGACCAACCCAGTCCTGGAAGCAGTTGCAAACAAGAACCACAAATCACAGTTCAAATCTCCAGACAGGCCTTCAATTATAAGGAACAAACACATCACATTGAGGTCTTTCTCTTTATGAAAAATCCTGCAGAAGAGTTGACATGAGAACGTGGCCCTGGCTGGCAGCTAGACAATTTCCTTCTTAGGGGATCTGAGAAACAACAACAATAATCAGTTTTCTCTGTATAGAATTAATTGCAGATTGATTTGAAGAGATTTCAATACACTTGTTTCAGTGCATATTTCAAATGATCCCTTTCCTAGGGGAATGGCCACTGCTTTGCCTTGCCCTCCCAAACCATCCATTTATCCCTTTGAGACACATTCCAAATCCTAGGTGGTTTTTTTTTGTCACTTACAAAATGATACTTATCCTGTCTCCACAGGATGGGGACATCCAGAAATTTTTCAAGAAAAGGGATCATGTTAAATACCACAATAGCAGCCAGTATACCCTGTGCAAATCAGAAAAACAGCATTTATTAGTTATTTTTTTGTTTGCAATCACAAACATGCTAAGGAACAGATACCCACGACAGACAAGCTGCTTGAGATTAAAATCTTATAATAGCTTTATTTCTGTTATTTTTATAGATATGTGTAGCAGTTCTCTGATCTGCAAACCAATATGAAAGTGGCTTGTAACTTCTTTTTTGATTTCACAATTACTTCTGCCAATACAACTGGACTTCCTCTTGAAATTCTATGTGTAGTTCCCATTTCAGTGTTCTTTGCCGAATGCCCGTGCCTCCTGCAGCACTATCTACAGAATTAAGAGTTGCTTTTTTAAAGAATGGTTTCAATTAGCATGGGTAGCTCATTGCTAGATTTAGGAAGTTGTTTGACACCATTTGTTAAAACAGCCTCTTAGCAAAGGAGACTGAAGGGAAGTAGATGGTTAAATTCTGTTTTGTCAGCTAGTTTTGGGAAAGGGATTAATTCTCCCATCTTACTAAGAGGCCAGGAAAAAATCAGGAAGTAATGCTCTTTCAGTGGTTCCCTAAGAAAATTTACAGAAAAAAAAAAGGTCTAAATAAAAATTTAAGAGAAAAGTAGAAAACTGAGAACTCTGAATAATCTACGATAACAAAATGTTTATGTTTATTGCACTGACAATGCAAAATCCACAGAAGGCTGTTTAGGAGTCTGTATGGTTTTAAAATAAATCTCAAAGATCAAGCTAGAATCAGAGTCACTAAACTCAAATTTCCATTTGGGAGATTTTATTTCCCTCTTTACACTAAAGATTTTGTAGAACCCATCTTGGAACTGCTTACACTGATGCAAGAGAGAAACTCATGAATTTGTTATATAGGTGGGGCAAAAGCCTGGAACATGTGAAACCAAACGAAATACAATGTTTAAATGATAGAGGCTGGCAGTGAAATTTCAACCCAGTTTAGCTTGTACAGTGAGAGATGGGAGAGAGATGCAATATTTATTACCTAATACACTAGGCTGCTGAAATTAGGAGAGTTTAAAGTCATTGGTTTGGTTTGGTCTGTCCCTGAAAACAATTAACTCTAGAGCGTGATATAACCCCTAACTGTCCCAGAAAAAATCTTCATATTATGCTTAGAAAATCTTCATTATATGCTTAGGAAGGAAGTAAGCTGCTGCCATAACTATTTCAGGTTCACTTACATTTGGTATCATCTGGAAAAAGCGTCCTAGTTTCAGTGAAATCATCAGCATCATAGATGCTCCAATCACTGCTGCTAACTGAACAGAAATACTTTATTAGAGTGGCCTGACAGAACCGTTTACTTACATGTCCTCTCTAAACAAGTAGCTACGGCCCATGTAACACCACCGACCAGGAAGAATAACCAGGGGACAATTCACAAAGGCCACAGGTATGCTGCAACGCATGGCACAAATTCTAGAATACTCAAGCTGAGAGTTTTCTGTAGATATAAATTTGGCCTAAATGGACTATTCTTAGGCACAAAGAACATTGCGAGAAACTATTCTGGTTTGATAATTTCATCTGAGTAATAAGATATTTCTTCTTGCAAGTCAGACTTTGGAATAAATTCTTTATTAAACACAATTATTTCTGTGCTGCAGTGAAGCATGTACAGGCATTCCGTTAAGAGGTATGATAAAAACACTATTACATACTGTTATTACATAGTACACCTTCTTTCCCCCTTGAAAGAAAAAGATCATGAAGTCAAATACTCAAGAGTTAGGAAGAAGTGGCAGAATTAAGGGGGCATGAACAATTTTCCCTTTGGCTTTTTGGGTATATTCACTAAAATGCAGTTTTAAGCTGCATGAGCATATCCTCCCCACAGGATCCTGGCTTCCTTCATGGCACATCATGTGCTGTAAATGTCATGGAAGTATAGTACATAATGTAACACATACAGAGAGGGTATCTGAATTCATGTTGCATGGGTATGTCACTTTATATCTTACAAATTGTTTAGATTAAATATCAGCCTATACTCAGTATACAGTGATTTTAGATGAGAGTTTAGAATCTTAAAAAAATCCAGCCAGCTCACCTGTGTTCTTCCCCCTGTCTTCTCTTGAATGACAGTTCCAGAAATAGCACAGCTGACAACAAAGCTTTTGAAAAATGAGCTGCAAATATTGCATAGCCCTACAGCTACTAGCTCCTGTAAAACAAACAGAAGGAAGCAGAGAAAACCCCAAACGAATGACTTACCTTCATAGAAGTAGCTTATCAGGAATTCCTTGCCTTTTGCTCACACTTGCTCCTTGCTCATCTGTGTTGCTAAGCTCAGGAAACCTTCTGGAAAGCAAACTCTGCCATGGTTAGATAAGCTCTCTTAAAAGGCATACAGTTTTCACAGCTGAGGATCTCATGGACCCGAAAATTCAGTTCCTTCTTCCAAAGAAATCCACTTAGAACCTCAAAGGTATGAGGCACTGACTTACAAGCTAACATGTGGCAAATCTCAGTATGCAGCATTATACACATGGACAAAAGCTGAGTGGAAAAGACTTTCCCTTTATATCTACCCCAGGAAGCTTCGAGACGTCAGGGCAGCTTCCTTACTGGCTTAGTTCCACCCTAGTAAAGATTCAAAGCCATCCCAACAAGCCAAACATGGAGTAATGCAAAACACCTAATGCTTACTAACTCTGGCACACTGGAAACTAAGAGAGTTTTAGCTTAAAAGCCTCTCAGAGCAATCACTCTGGGCAGAGAATCCATACACTGGAATAGCAGCCACATACAGAGAAGAACTACAGCTGCTCTGGCCATTTACCATTTCAGCTATTAATTTATCATGCTTTTATAGTCTCATGGATTCATGACAGCAGTGGTCCTCAGCGATCGGTTGCAGCACTGTGTGTGTGAGGTTCATCCCGATCACAGGGAATATACAAAAGCCTCTTGGCCAAAGAAGGCCATGTTTCGATTTCCACATTACTGACTTATAACATCCACTTCCCATAGGGAAGGGTAACAAGTTTCTACAAAACTATTCTCTGGCATATTCAATCCATCCTTGCATTTTTCTACTACTATCAGGCAGTTAGTGGCTTTGCAGTTTGAATTCAGCTTGCTTCTTGGCCTTCGAAGTATGTGTAGTTTTGTTCTCACCTGATTGCTGGCAATATTGTAGTTGTGAAGTGAAGCGTATCTCTCCCCAGCAAAAACAAGAAGGAAATAGCTTACAAGAGCAAGAGAGAAGGCATGCAGTATTATCTTGCTCAGGTTTGATAAATCTGGCGATGTAGGAGGCACAAACCTGCAGGAGAGAACAGACAAGTTTAGACCTGTTCTGAGCTCTGTCCAGAGTAACTCCAAACCCAGGATCATCATCAGAGACATCCAGAACCCCACAGGAGATGCTAGACTTCCACCTCACAAAAAAATGCAAATTCCTTCCTCTGTGTGCTAATAAAACCCGAATCTAATACAGGAAACTGTAGTTTGAATTCTGTATATGCTCAGAAATTATGATGCAATTAAAACTCATGAAGAGTTATTCCTCTAGCTGTACTTCCCAGTAAAAGTCAGCCCACGTCAGATTTCAAGAACAGTCTGAAACGTTTTTTTTCGTATCTCAAAAGTACAACCTTAGAAACAGCATAGATAACTAACCTCTGAGGAATCATACTGACCACAGCACTACTAGACTCAGCATGAAGATGAATGCAATTAGAAATAATGACGACTGTGATAATCTGGGAAAGAAAACAAGAAGGAATACCAGAGATTATACAGCATTTGCTCCTGAAACTGTACACAATACACCTAGATAGTTAATCTTGCAGGAGTATTTAAAAGACTTAAGCACAGATTCAGTGTGTAAATATAACAGCACCTTCACTGAATATGTTAAATGTTTTTTGAAATAAAGTATATTAGTTAGTTCAATTATCACAATGGCATTTTGGAGATCACTTACCAAGAGAAGTTCCATAGGAAATGCAATAGGACTATGTTTATAAGTTATCATGATGCATGTGTTGACTCGTAGCATAGCCATGCTAAGCAAAAATAGCAATATGCTGGTGGCATTAGCCTTTGGGAGGACCAGGAGGAAACGAAATAGATTCTGAAAAAGAATCATCATAGAGAGGATCAGAGGCAGGTACTACAACTGTTTCTATATTCCAGGCGATTGACATAGGTTACCCTGACACCTGAACTCATCCTTTCTGATACAGTGCTATCTTCAGTTACAAGAACGGAGACGCTATGAGAAAAACAGTATTTAAAAATCTATCTCATCTGTTGGTATCTGCAGAGAAAACACTGCCACAAATAGCTCATATCTAGTACTGTCATTCTTCTCTCTTCTACGGTGCCTTTTTGTCAAGTTGTCTGATTGACATCAGTAAAGTAAATTAAGAGGAACTAGCTTTAGCTTGTCTTTAGCTTGGAATCTGCTGCTTCTTTGTCAGATATGATAAAGACACTGTGTGCCCAACAGCTTGCCCATGATGATCTATTGAGGAAAGAAGTGCCCTTTCCTCTAACCTTTGCTCCACCACAATTACAAGCATGCTGAAAATACAGTATAGCACTACATAAGTAATTAAAAATATGCACACAGACTCTTCTTCTTGCATGTCACACAATAAGCTCCATACATTGTTCAAGACAACAGGAAGGCGCAGTAAACCACAGCTGAGACTTGCACAGATATCCCTTAGCAACTGACTGAGATTGAAATTGCCTTCAATTTCTGAAGCTTTTTTCTTTCCCCTCCAAAAAGCATGCATTTGTTTGACTAATAACGAATTTACTCACATAGAAAATGCCGAGGGGACCCTTATGGAAGTCAAGCACGACGTCAAAGATAAAGCTAAACTGTGATACAATGACATGCAGTGCTGCTGCAGTGAGGTAAGCATCGATGAGAGTCTTTGGCACATATGATGTTACAAACCCCAGGCAAAAGCAACCTAGCAGCAACTGCATGGGACAAACAAGAAGCGAGATGTGATATAATTATCAATGTCTAACCCTGTCCTCCTTCTTCCCATATTTGAAGAGCATGATTCTTTACTGCTGTACATGATGGATAATTATTTGAACACGCTATTTTCATTATGCCCAATTAAGTAAGACACTGCCAAACCAAAACAGGAGAACTTTACATCAAGTGTGTGCAGTTATGTAGGACTACTTAAGGGTTAACATATTGCCAGAACTGGTCAACATAAAAGATAATAATTTACTTCACACATATTAATCATGGGCACATGAATCTTCACCTGTCATATCTTTTTCAGGCAGCATGAGAGGAAGAGGCAGACCTTCATGTTCCATTTTTCACAACACATTCAAATGTGCTGAGATTAGTATTTGTGGTAAGAATACGTAAGCAGTACATTTCTTACATATGTGCAAAGAAGGCATGTAAGGATACATCATTAAGGATATAAAATAGATTCATCTTCTACCTGAATGACGCCAGTCAAAAATGTTACTGATGCAGTAAGTGTCAAGGCTTCCATGTAATCTTTCGTAAGTTTAGGATCTGAGATGTTGTCCAGTGAGCCATTAAAGGAGAATGTTTGGTTGAAAGTAAGAGTCTTCAGAATGTCTGCCACCACCATATTTAGGATGCTGAATGAGCCTGGAACCAACAGAACAGAGAACAGAAAATGGAACTGCATGACATGTTGCAACAAAGACTTATCTCAAAACCACACATCCATCTCTTCCCCCCGCTACCAGTCTGTGCAGTATGAGACAGTCTATTTCCATTCATATATATAATCCACATATATAATACATTTCTACTGTTTCTGAATAAGTACTCAAAGTTTTCAAAGTCCTGTCTGAAAATTTCAGATTCCTACCATTTTATGAGTGAAGTCTTCAGTTTGTCAGATGCACAACAAAAAGATTTTAGTGTAAAGCACAAAAAATGGATGCATTGCAATGAGCTGCCAGAAAGGCTGAAAAACAGTCAGTCAGAGTAAGAACTGCCAATCTACCTAAGAGGCCAGAGCTCCACATACCCACTCATTATGATAATGTGAAGGGCCTTCTCACATGTAAACAGCATTTTAAAAGCTAGCTGCTGAACAAATTAAGAACGTAAACCCATCACCAGTTCAGTCACGGCAAGAAACTGCATGTAGAAGACCACGGAGAAAACCAGGAGCCAAATCATAATTCACAGTAACATCCTGGGGGTAAATGTGAAGCAGTGTGCACTGGTCCTTTACATAGGAGATGCCTCCATGACACTCCAGCCTCTCCTTTGCACTGGTGTCTGTCATGAGGAGCTGTGCTGGCTCACGTCCTCGGGGGTACAAAGCACCTCGCAGCTGAAACTTGGGAACTTGGTGAAATTCTCACCACAGATCAGCTGCAGAAGCAGAACAACGAACTGAGAATCTGGGGGTCTGGGTTCTCACCTAAATAACATCTGCCTATTAGATGAAATAGGTAAGACATCTTGCCCGTTTTTTGAAGCAGCACTGAATAATCTCTAAGTCCTGCAGGAACATTTCCCAGTACAAAACAAACCTCACCAATTGAGATGTGATGTGAAGTCCCAAACATAACATATGTCATCGAGCAGCAGAATGCAGAAAGGAAGCCATTGATACTTGGCAGAGGCAACCTGGTCAGCCAAACTCCTAAAAACCCTGGAAAGCAAAAATCTGTTTCGAAAATCAAGCAAATTGGGAAGGCTCTCTATTTTTGGTTACTATTTTTAAGTAAAATTTTGCTGATGAAAACCTGGTCTTTATGAAAATCCCAGTTCAGGACCTGATAAAGCCAGGCCACTTAGTGAGAAGAGCCCATGGTTTACAACATGGGCCCTTGCTAAGTAGAAAACAGACAAAGAACCAGACCAGCTCTTCATTTAGGCCACCTATTAAGTGGGGTGGCTATGCATCTGAGTATCTAACAGACCTGATTTTGCAAGGTGGATTTTAAAGACCATGTTGTTTGCAATATAGGGAAATGCTGTTATTAGTTTATATATTGAGTAGTGTCCTGTCCTTGAAATTACACCATGTAACATTTGATTATAGAAAAGAAGTTCTCCTGCAAATATGCAAATAAATAGGTTAATGATTTAAGGAACTTCCAAAGTTAAAGTTCGCTCACAATCTGATGGCATTAGAACGAACAGAAACACACACAGGAGATAGGCTATGAAAAGCATGATACGCAAAAGGAAGCTAGAGTGTTTTCTTCTCTCTGCCTACCTTGAGGAATCTGAAACATCCCAACACTTAGGCCTGCATGTAGATCCCTCAAGATCCATTCTCTGAACCGATACGAAAGCAGCCAGTTCAGGACAGGGAACACCTTGAGTATGATCTTTCCAAACCTCCCCCAGGAGAAGCTGAAAAGAATCAGATAAGCCAAGCTCTACGCGGTGCCGTTTACAGTCTCCATCTCTGCAGCGCTTCTGCGTGGCCTGGTGCTGGGCGGGCACCGAAGCCGCACCGCCGCGCTTGGCTCTCCGCAGGCACCGCGTCCTGTGAGCCCGCACGGGCGTTAGCCAGCCTGGTGCTTCACGTGAATCCTACCCAGGCACCCCCATGCCTCTGCATTCCATTCAGATGAATCGCAAATTCTCGGTGTGCCATTCGTATGATAGCCTGTCAGCCCCGGAGCCCAGAGCGCTGAATGCATCAATTACTTGACCTCATTAACACCGCAGGAAAATAGGAGATGGTATTTTGATTCCTCCTATTCTGATCTAGAAGAAAAACAAACACAACCTCTGGGGGGCAAAAATAGGCAAACCTACCCCACTTCCCCAAAACCAGACAAATGTTTCCTGTATCATATTATTTAATAAGGGGATGCAAGCAAGACTTGAGTGATTTATTTTGTGTATATGTTTTTGAATCAGAATTTCCAGTAGGTAAACTCTGACTAACCCTACAGCCCTGTGCTCCTTCTTCCCCTTTTTAATCCCTTGGCAATGTTGGTGATTTTCTACTTACAAATCAAATGTAAGTGATGTAGCGTCTGCCCAAGGCTTCTGGCAGCCTTCAACAGTGGCTGTGGGGACTGACCCCAGTTAACATTATAGAGCTGAGTCCCTTTCCATCATTTTATTGTCCCAGGGGAGTACATACTGGGCTGACAAGTGGATACAAAATGGAGAACAGAAAAAACACACGAGCTAGAGAAGTAGAAAAGAAACAGGGAAAAGAGTATGAGGAAGCAAGGCAGACAGGGCTCTTAAATGATGAGTTGGGGAAAGAAATAGAGATTTTCTTATTAAGCATCCAGTTCAATGATAAAGTTTCCAATAATACTAGCTATGACTTTACAGCAAAAATCTCTCTTTGATCTCTGGGCAAGACTTATTTTATTGCACCAGGTATTTCTGGGCGGACAAACTGTTAACTCTAGATCACACGTCATAATTATACACAATTCAACCCCCTCCATCAAGTAATTTTGTTTCTCTGACTCCAGAACTTCAACCACTCTCCTTCTTACTTTTTTTTAATATATAAAAAGACAGCGCTGGAACAGAAGGCTATTGCACAATCTGAAGGATCTCACTATTACAGAAATTAATCTTGATGACAAGTGTTCATGGTGAATGAAAACTAGAAAACACAATAGCTACTCAAACTGTGGCTCCATTTGCCTTCACTTATCACCAGGAAATTACTTTACAGCAGCATAAGTTAGACATTACCTATAGTTTTAGGCTGCAGTCCCACACATAGCTGAGCTGATGTAAGAGCTTGTTATACAGAAAGAGGGAGGTCTGGCTCCCCTCCTTTCCTTTCCCTGTGTGGTCCTGTCCCTTCTGGCAGCCACAAGCTGTTAGATTAGCTCACCACACCTTGCAGAACCTCACCCAGAGCTAGACTTGAGTCTCAAGTCCTGCCATGGTCTCAAAACATGAGTTTAAGTTTCAGTATCTGTTCAGTATACATGCTGAAACAAATCCCAGATAAATGATGAATCGTAGATTTTGTATTTACTTTCTTAGGACTCTGTAGAGTATACACGGCCATAACCATTGACAGTCCACTTGGGATCCAAAAAGAAATTCACAAAGAAAACTGGGATATTCATAGTCAAACAAACCAAAAGAGAAGTTGATGAACAGGCTTCCTCTTTTTTAGTGTATTTGCCTTACTGGAAGAACATCAGGACTTCTCCTATGCTGCCAACAAAGGCTGCCTTCTGATGTGCCTGCAGGGCTCCTCTGGAAGAAGAGATGCTTCTACTCCCAGTGTAATGCCCAAAAGAGAATTTTGGCACATGAGACTGTGGAAGCATTAATGCTTTATCACTACCCTAGCCTCACCCATTCTCCTCAAAGAACATAGGAACACAGCTCCAAAATAATGCCAAAGCACTTTGGTCAATCCCAGTCATCCCATTATGCAACCTTCCATGTTCCCAGCTAAGAGGGAACAGAAAAAGGCTCTTGCAATTTAAGAAATAAAAGTATCAAAAGGAACAAATCAAAAGAAAGCAAATGAAAGCCTGTGTCTGACAGCTGGGCTGAGGGAAGCACTGGAGGGAACTACAACTACCGGCAGTTTCTCTTTACAAAGCATGTATCTTTTACACTATCATCATCCTGATGTGAAGACACTTTTGCAGATTGCAAATAGCAACTTTGGTAGTGCAGCACTAAACTTATCTTGCATACTTCTGGTGTGAGTTGCTGTAACTGAGTGTTCTGCTTTGGTTATCAATCATTGCTGTTCAGCATTTTAATTACCAGCTGTGGAAAAGTTAGCACCTTTTTTACACTTGGGCTTGAAGAGTATCCTTAGTTTATTTACACCTGATAAATTCCTGGCATAGAACTCACCTGCACTGTAGCCGTCTGTTCTCTCGCTGGATTTGTACTACTCCACCCAAGGTGGAGGACAGTTTTCTTTCAAAGTATGCCTGGAAGTGCTCCTCTGTCTGCATCCTCTTTGGAACCTATAAGCTGCTGGTTGCCTGTAAATACCAACAGTATCATTGTCAAGAGCCATATTTTCCTTCTGATCACAGTCAGTCAAAACCAGAGGAACAGCAAATGCTGGAGACCACAATGAACACTTTCTTTCTTGGCAGTGAGACTGGAAGAAAGAAACAGGGTCATGGACTGGAGTATCTACTAAAACCAAAACCAAATGTATGATGCATGATCAGTCTATCACTCCTGTGAAGCCAGTGGTTAAAGCAGGGATAAGCAAGGCTCTGGCGACTAAAACCCATCAAAGTCATGCTGCTGTTAGGATCAAACAAATCAATTGGCAAATCAGTTGTAGGAACACTGGGTCCTTCTGAAACTTGCCTTGTTCCTACTCTGTAGGAAAGACCAGCCCGAATCCCCTTCATTTTGTGATCCCAAAAGCAGGCCTGTGTTTAGAGAACTACATACACTCCCTCTCCATAAACCTACCACAGTGGAAGAAACAGTTTGAGTTCTCCTTGTTTCCAACCATGGAGAAAAAAGTCTTAGTCTGAATTATGCAGAGAGCAGCTAAATCTGAGACTGTACAAATGCTGCAGCTTGCTGTATAAAATTGGTATCTGATACCATTCAGGTTTATAAATCCCCACAATGTCTAACTCATGTTCCTCAGAATTTTAATATCAGGAAGGAGATCTGTATTCAATCACTATCACTTAGAGTAGGTAAGATGTGAGAGGTCCCAAAGTGAATACTGAGTAAGCAAAGGCCAAGAGCAGTAAGTAAGGTGCAAGAGCAAATCTAAGAGAGAGTTCTCATACTGACAGCTGAGGCAGAAAAAAAAAAAAAAAAAACAAACCCAAACAAATCCAGAGCTACCAAGTGAAAGTACATTTAAGAAGGGTGGTGACATATAGGAACATATTTTTTTGCTATGGGCAGAACAAAGAAAGAAAAGAGGAAATATGAAAAGGCTGTGAGTGAGCAGCTGAGAGTCTATGCAGAACGCAATCTAAGTTTAAAGTATCAAAACCTGCAAAAAAATTAATTGGGATTTAAGTTTTCTTCTCATATGTCATTTCCTGAACCATCAGGATCAGTGTGTACAGGTCTAGTGCTTTAGCATCACCGAGATCATCTACTTCTGATACAGCAACAGGGACTCCAGCACAGTATTTACTGTCTTGTGACACGTATCTACCAACACGTACACATATCCCAGTTCTAAACCACAGAAAGAGCTAGTAGTAGGCAAGTCTTAAACTCACTCCATCCCTAGAACACAATTCCTCCCTCTTTTTACAGAGGGGATGAATCAAGGTCTTCCACAGACGAATTTAAGAGCCATTTTGTTCATTAGCTTTTCACACTGAGTAAAAGCTTTTGAAGCTTTATCTGTTTCTGACATTTTTGAGCACAGTCACCTCTTTTCAAGGCAAACTGATACAGCAAGCAAAACTAACAGAAGCTATAGTTTGCAAATTAAAGGCATTAAACCCCAGCACACCGAGTAGTTACTTTTCAGATGCAAGCAGTGGTAACTTTCAGCTGTTCGTGCCTGTTACTTGGATTTTAATGATGACTCACAGCAGCAGAGGACAGGGTCCCACTCTTACACTGTTTAGTAGAAAAAGAGGGTTTTGACCTGGGAAGCCAAATGTCTTAAAAGAAAGCTTCCATATCCCATTCAGAACGTGTCTGTCTTGCACAGTACTGCTAACGAGACTCGTCTTCCTCCAGCTTGAGATCAAAAGCTAAGTGGCTTTAAACACAAATCCCTAACACTATTTGCTGTGACATTCTGTACTTACTACCTGGTGAAGCCACCCTGGGCTCCACTCCAAAACACGCTTAACCTGCATCACTTAATGACTTCACTGAGTCTTAGGCATGCGCTTGAAAGCGAGCACATACATATCTTTGATACTGCAAGGCCTCTCGCAGTATTGAGAAATACTTTGTTCTCCAAACACACAGAGAAAGATCAGGACACTGGGAAGTCTGGGCTTAGCACTCACTATCGCTGCTGGCTGAAAGACCCTGGAAGGGTACAAATTGTCCTTAGGGAGTTTACAAGAGTGATTAATACCGGCTTGCAAGATTCCAGAAGCTGCGGTTACCCCGAGACACACCGTGACAGGGTGTCACTCAGGGGTGACCCCGGGCGCACAGATGTGCTGCCTTAGCCACGTGTTTTCATCTATTTTCCTCTTCTTTTTTCCTTAAAGCACGCCCTAAGGGGGTGCTGCGCAGGGAAGCCGAGCAGGGTCGTGAAAAGGCGAAAGCGGGACCGGAATTCCCGAATTTCAGCCTATTTGCCCCAAGGCGTTACCCTGGGCCCCGCCACCCTGCGCTGCCCCCTCACGACCCTGCCCCTATCGGGCCCCGCCCCCCCGCGGGGCAGCTCTCGCGAGAGGCCGCCGCGCTGGTGCCATATTGGGTCATCTCAGCCCTCGGCGCCTCAACTCTCGCGAGAGCGGTGGGGAGGCGCGATTGGGCTCCGGCGGGGCCGTTGGCCGGGCCCAGCCCGGGCTGGTGCTGCTCGGGGCGGGGGCAGCGGCCGCTGTGTGTGTGTGTGTCCCCCCCCCCCAACCTGCGGCGGGAGAAGTGTCTCCCCGCCCCGCCCGCGCCTCGATTCACCTCCCCTCACCTCTCACGGGGGTTTATCCCGCCCCTCGCGTTCCGGGGAGGGGAGGGAGCCGGGAGAGAAGCCGGGGTGCGGCGGGGAGGGGGGGAAGGCGGTGACGGGGCTCCCGGCACCCCCAGAGCTGAGGTGAAGGCGGGGGGGGGGGGGGGGGGAAGCGCAACCGACCGCACGGGGCGGGGCGGCCAACGGTCGGCGGCGTGAGGGGAGGGCGGCGGGGAGGGCGGTGCTGTTGCAGGGCCGCCCCCGGCCGCCGGGGAAGCGAGGCGGGGAGGGAGGAGGAGGAAGGAAGGAGCTGCTGCTGCTGCTGCTGGGGGAGAAGGAGGAGGTGGTGGTGGTTGAGGAGGTGGTGGTGGTGCTGCAGCCGCGGGCAGAGCCTCCCCCTCCCGCCGGGCCGGGCGGGGAGGGCTCCGGAGCCGAGATGTCTCAGGAGCGGCCCAAGTTTTACCGACAGGAGCTGAACAAGACGGTGTGGGAGGTGCCCGAGCGCTACCAGAACCTCTCCCCGGTCGGCTCCGGGGCCTACGGCTCCGTCTGGTGAGTGCTGGGAGGGGACGGCGGCGGCTCTGGGGGGGTGTGTGTGGGGGGGGGTCACGGCAGGTTGTTGTTGTCGTGTCCCCCCCCTCCCCAAACACACACCGCGGCCCCTGCTCGGGCTCTCCGCCTGGAAACCGGCACCGCGCTGCGTGCGGGGCTGGCTTCTTCTCCGGGGGTTCCTCTCCCCCCCCCCCCCCCCCCCCCAGCTTTTTACCAGTCTCCCGCAAGAAACACTTTTCCTCCCGGTTGAAGAGCGGTGCTGCCAGGAAGCCGCAGACTTGTCTCTGGAATGCGTCGGGGATTGCACCACATGGCAGGTGGCACTAAAACATTTTTGCAGGGGAAGATAATCATGTCCCAACCCCCCCCCCCCGCTCCCCGAATGAGCTCATATGGACATATTTCACCGTGCCTTCTTGCAGTTAGTAGGTGGGGGGTGGAGAGGGATGGAGACTGGCAAGTCCCCCGTAGCTGGCTTTGCAGAGCTGAGGGCCTGGCAGCTCTTGCCCCAGTTTCTTTCTGGACCCGAATAATAGATTATATTTGTGGCAATTATATTTTTAACGGGAATCAGTTGATAGTCAGAGAGGGTAGAGGGAAGGCTATGAGGGCTGGTTTTGCATCCCTGATTTTTAACAGTGGATTGGCCGGTATTGGTATTTTCTTGGCAATACAAGATCAACGCAGGAAAACTTGTTTTATTGCTGTAGAATGTCAGAATTACTGCAGTATATGCTGCCTGGGAGAGTAAAGTCCTGTTATGAGACCTGCAGAAATACAGAGAGCTTGAAGATAAGAGTTTAGTTTTTAATGCTTACCTAATAAGAACAAAACATATGACAGCTTACACGTGCAAAATACAGTACTTCCTTAATTTGTAGTTTATCTGCTGAAGTATGTTGGATCATTAAACATAAATTAAGTGGCTTGCCTACATTGTTTAATCTTAAAGACAAGCCTGTGTTTGAATCGGTTTGATGTCTGGACTCTAGCAGTTATATAGTAGAGCTGCATAAAAGTTCACAGATTACTGTGTCCTTTTATCAAGGAATGTCTTCCACACCAGCATTCGGGTTTTTATTTTCTGTTCTTTGGCTCTGTCAAAGCGCGATCTGAATCTTCAAATATGGGTGCATAATGATTACACATCTGCTCTGCTGCTGTATTTGAGCAGGCATGCATATTTTCTAATTAACATAATATGCAAATTTGTCATGAGTATCATGTTATGAGGAAGGATGCATACTGCACTCCACTAGTAAAGAAAAGGAGCTGTTTTGTATGTGCTGCAGTTCTAAAGAAATAAAGTTCTTAGCTGTTCTTAACCTACTGTTATAAAATTGTTGGTAAATTTAGTGTAAATAGCATGCATTTCATGTCTTAAAACTACTGTGCCTCAAGTATGCAAATGCTTATATTTCATAGAAGACAAAATCTGCTCAATTCTAGTAGCAAGATTAACCAGTGTACTTGCTGAGTTTTTTAAAAATAGATGTATATAGTTCTGGTGAGAGAAGGGCCTTGCTGCCATAGCTGATAAATACCCCTGCAAGTGCCACAGAGTTACGTAACTCCCGAGTGTAATAGGAAATTAACTTGCTCGGTCCCTTGTCCATTGTATTTTTAAGGTTGACCCTACACCGTCTAACCCATTCCTCTTCTGTTTTCCTCCTCCACACAATCTCCATTGTGCGTGTAATGCTTCCAAAGTTTGTTTTCACAACCAATAACTAAAGAGTTTGCATCATGAATTTCCTGTTTTGCTGTGTCAAAACTTTAAAAGATTGTGCAACTTCAGACCAGATGAAACAATTTTGTATTGGAAGCAATTTCAGACATGTGGCACATGAGACTGAGTGCAGTCCATGTTAATGGTTTTCTGTATGTTCTTCTAAAAATATATTCCAGAAAAGATACAGTTCAGAAAGACTAGTGATATGGATAGTATGTTAGAATTAAAAAAAAAAAAAAAACCACCAACAAAAAACAACCAACCAACCAAAAAAAAAACAAAACAAAAACAAAAAAACAGCCAAACAAAACAAAAAACCCAACAAAGCAACAAACAAAAAACCTTGCAGATATATGTAATTTTATTCAGCTGCAAATGGTGATGCATAGTATTAAGGATATTCCTGCAATGACTTGTTCAGCTCTGTCCCTTTAGAGATTTTTCTCCCCAGTAAAAAGTTACCTGGTTTCATCTGAGATGTTGTGTTTGGTGTACATCTGTGTTGGGACAGGAAATTGTGGGGTTTTAACCACCCTTAAACTGAATGGTTAAATAATACTAGTGTGTATGTCTGCTGCATTATTATGTTAGAATGTAATAAAATGCCCTTTTTCCTTTAGTTGTCAAGATGAGGCATTTAAAAATGAGGAATTCTATAAAGTGGGGGAAAAATTAATAAAAAAGAAAGAATTAAGCCAGCAGATGAGTCATTTAAGCTATGGAGCTGTCTGCTGTAGGCTGCTTTAAATGTCTAATGTGAGTATGACTCGCAACACCCTAATGTAAGAACCTGACTCTATTTTGTAGTCAGTAGATGGAGAGAGAGAGGCTTTTTCTGCAGGCAGTTTAGGGCACCTGAAGCATGTGCTTAAATTTAGAGCAAATATTCCAGTTTTCTGAAGTATTATGTGCAGTGGTGGAAGAATGACATTCAAATGGCCAACTTGGGTATTTTTCAGGATCTGTTTTATAAAAACTGAAAGTATGTGGAGATACAAGTTACGGATTCAGTTCCAAAACTTCAAGAAACATCGATATGTACTCTCAGATTGTTCTTTACCAAGTCACGTAACAATTGCTGTGACATCTGTTGTGTGAAATGCTATTTAATTTATTCTTGCAACAGTGTTGTATGTTCATCCAACATAGTTTTTTGCTTCAAAAAGGATTTTGTAACCTGGTCTACACTAAAATGCACGTGGGTTCCTGAAGTATCAGTCAGTAATACGTCATGTGAGGAGAGGGGCTTAGATAATGCAGCATCTTGCAGTGGGAAGTTGCTGAATGGAGATGGGATCGATCGGTGACTCACAGTTTAGCAGAAGGATCGCTTCATTTCTGGTGTGTGCTGCAGGGAAGTTTCAGCACATGGCATTAGCTCAGCCAGCTCCAAGCTAAGCAAAGAGGTGTTTTGATGATCTTTGCCATCAGTTTCTAAAATGCTGTGAAGGCAGACTCGGTATAGTTTTAGGAATTTCCTTCATGGTTGCATTTTTTGCAGCAGTGCTTTGTGTGTTTTGTTAATGCCTTTGTAAAAGAAGGTTTGTGGTTTAATTGCTTTGCAGGCTATCAGCATTGTCTTATTTAATTTGGAAAGGAACTGAACAACCAAGACTTATTCTTTCTCAGAATCTTGCATAAGAATTTTTAAGCTTTTTTTGTTAGCAGACTATCAGATTATGTAGCTTTTCCAAAACTTGTGATTTCTTCCCATTTCGACCCACAGTTGCACCAGCACTGACTAACTCTGAATTTCCTGGATATTATGAAGATACTGAGATATTTCCCCTCTTTTTTAAACTAATAGAGAAACACTGTGAATTTAATAAATTTTAAAACATTTGGCTCCAGAGGAAGTGAAGTGACAACCCTGAATATCACCTCTGCAGGAACAGTTCCTCTGTATTTTTTTTTTTTTAGCTGTGTATGTCTTTAGGTTTACTAATCCCTTATCAAAGCGTGCATATGCCTATAAAGTATGTGTGCACTTGGAGGGACAGGTGCCTGCTTCTCCGGGAAGGTGTGGTAGATATGCAAGTAGTGATCTGAAGGGAATTATAAAAGTGAGTGGGATGAAACAGCTGTACAGGTGGGATTAGCAGGACACGTGAGGAAGGGGGATCGAGTAGGAAGTGGGCATGCACAGAAAAGCAGTGACCAGAGCTCTGAAAGCAAAGGCAAGTAGTTTGTACTTGATGGGAGCTTTGTATATTAAGAAATGAAATTAGTGTGAGCACATCTGTCCTACAGGGAGATTTTTATTGCAACTTTCTTAGAAGCAGAAGCCAACATGGCAGAGAAGTAAGATATACAACTTTTTGTAGTGCGTTGGGAGGGTAGCTGATTGAAATGCATGTGTAGGCTAAACTCAAAAGTGACTGGTGTTAATGATAAACTGTCAGGTACTAAGAACAGTGTTTTTTCTGCCTATAACTAGGGTTACATAAATTAACTCCAAAGGTACCACTACAGAGATTCAGTTAGCTTGGGTATTTGCATAGGCACTAGCGATGAGCACCATACTATTTAACAAAACAAAGTCTTTGCACAAAAAATAGCATTCTGATTATTTAATACTTAAATAAATTGTGCTCCTAAGTAATTTTGTGTGTACTTACGTTCCTCAGACTACTTCGCATTTACTTCTAAGGAAATAGAAGTTGAATCAGTGGATAGGTTCTCTAAAAGAATTGGTTTATTCTAGCGCTTATGTTCTGGATTCAAGTCAGGTTAGCTCAGGATTGTAGTTTTAGCTCACTTGGGGTGAGGTGGATACAGTTAGTGTGCCATAGCGCAGTACTATGTAAGAGGTTAAGAAACGTGGAAGCTGTGATAAATTCTGAATTTGTGCTGA